AGCCTCATTTAAAAATAATCACTTCACATGAATGTTCTCAAATAGCTTTCAAAAATGCAAAGATCAAGAGAACTTTTATTTGACTTATAAGCATCCCTATGTATTGTTTAGGCTTTCTAGTCTCAGATGCCAATATTATTCTTCTATGATGCTGAGGTTGATTTTAAATTGTAGATTGATACAACACCTGTAGCACTTCAAGTGCAGGTTATATTTCCATGAAAACTACTTAACATATTTTTAATATTTCAGAAATAACTTTCAAGCCCTACAATGCCCTCTAACATTTTGTCACTTTAATACTTATCACAATTTCTGTAGTTTCATGGCTTCAATTATCTATTTAAATTACTCCTTTTCTGGCCCTAATTCTGATCTTAAAGCTTGGTTCGCATTTCTAACTGCCAAGTACATTTCTCTGCATGAATATAAACCTAACTCAAATAAGTGAGAAGCTCATTGCCTTAGATTTTTACAAATCCTCAAGGGGTAACTAAGACAAATTAATGAGAAGTAGAAGAAAACATTATTTCAGTTCATTTAAGATTTCTTTATATTAGTTAAATTTCTCCAAAAATAAAACACACTGCCCTGAAACACACTAAGTTCCACATCATAGGCAATATGAAGGCATAGTCTAGATGACAATTTGGCAAGGGATACTGATTTAGGGATTTGAAATCACATAATTGGTCAGACTAGATAACCTTTCAAGTCCCACTTAATTCTAAGAGTCTATGATACAATAAAATTATTCTCATTCCCTCCTCCCACCATAGATTAAAAAAATACTTCCTTCATTGCTAAAACTTAGGTGATTTACATCTTTCCACCACATACACCACCTATTTCCTAATGTATTATTCAACAGTTTAATTTATTTCAACAAATATATTTGATAATTTCCCCTCATCTTGGTCTTTGAAGGCTTTTATTTTTCCTCTCAGTTGTATTAAACTTAACATTTTCAATCTATTAATTCCAATCTTAGAAACTATTTTACAAAGAAAACAATATTTTTTTATGCTTAATACAGACTACAAATACAAATTTGGAGGCTTTTTTTAATATTAGATTAACTCTGGGAGTCCTAAAAGAGTTAAATTAACCTTTGAGATTAAAACACATGTTTATTTAAAAAATAAACTGAAGTTTCATTTAATGGGTGCCTATAAAGTGCTTCTAAATGTTTCAGTGAAACAGGAGAGAAAAGATTAATATCTAATTATCTTGTAACTTCTTCATATTGAAAGCTTATTAGTTATAATGAAAATGCAGCTATCACCCACAAGTCTATGTTGATTCAATAAATGTTATAAGCTGCTTTTGAAAAACAAAGTTATCAATTGCTTTTCTACATGATATAAAATATTTCAAATATGATTTTCTATGGAAGTACAGGAAGATCTATACAAATAAATGTTTCTGTAACTATGTAACCCTTAATATGAATTGTTCAATCCTTTGAATTCTTTCTATAAATACTAACAAGTCCCAAAAGAGAAAAACTAAAAAACGTTTCATTTCTGCTTTATCATATTTTATTTGCTTAATTTTTTTGCAGACTAAATTCTCACTTACAAAATTGCACGTGTAACTATATTTTCAATTGTTTCAGCAGTGGTATCAAAAGTTAATCAAATGAGGATAAAATTAATTTTTTGATAATTATAAAACCAGTTTGTTGGCCTGAAATTATTTGGAATAGACAGAGAAAAAAAAGAGGTAAGTTTCAGTAGCATTTGTGCAATAATTACAGCCAGATGAATACAATATATACATGATTTAGGTATTCTATATAAACAAGAGGCTGCAGAGTTTGGAATTCTGGGGGTGACTGTTTCATTATTTAACAAACTCTCAAGTACTACTTTGTATTACATCTTTCAAAAGATGCATTTATTTTATTTAAATTAGAGTGAGTAAAATATATGCTGGACAAGAAAAAGAAGCATGCCTACTTTATTCACACAAATGCTACTGTCCCACTCTGGAAAATGACAGAGGAGTTAAAAGGAAACTGAAATACTGTAATGTCTTTATGACTAAACATATATATGTTAATCAGAAATATAAACATATCTACCTTTTATAGAACTGCAATTACATTCTGTATGTTATTTCTCTTTTTCCTTTTATCCATTATGTAATATCAATAAAAACATTTTTTTCATGACTATTCCTTTTCACAATGTAAACTATATTTGATTAAAAATAAAACTATGGATATGTAAACACCTTTGCTGAACATATCAGAAAGTCACAAGATAGAATAACTCAAAGATCCTTTGTTTTTATTTTGACTTACACCACAACATTTTTATCTGACCTGAAATATCTATGTTGGAAGTATTTACTTTTAACACTAAAAACCCATCCTAGCAATTCAGTTTTCTGTAGCTCCCCAGTACCATAAACCATACCAACATCTGTTCAGCATAAATATGTTAACATATTATATTTATGATTAAGAGACCTCAAATCAACAAATAACCTTGAAAATCAAATAAAATGGAAATAGTTCCAAAAAGTTAAAAGAGATTCAGCTATTTTAGGAATTACATTTCTTGATTCCTTTCAGGGTTATTCGAATATCCTCCAGCCTTGAAGCTCAGGGGCATGTGTGTGATTTCACACTTGCCCACATAGAATATGGTGTACCCAGGAGTGATTCTCCTCAAATTGAGCAACCACCTGAAAAGGCCACAAACATCTCTATGACTCATCAGCCTATTGATGTAGCTTGGTTTCTTCTAAATCAGACTGATCTGCTACAGGGATGGACTTTTTTCCCCCACAACCTTTTTTGGATATAACTTTTTAAAACTTAGTTTGGAGACCTTAGTGAGTGAAATATCCAAGACACATGTTCTTTTCATATCCATGTGTTCAAATACATAAAATTCACATGGAAGCATTTAGTATCCAAGAAAATAAAAGGAGAGAGGCTTGGAATTAATGTCAATAGATATCTAATGCTGCATTTGAAACAATAGGTTTTGATATGGTGCTTTGTATAACTTCTAAGTCCCTATAAGTACCTTATTAATCAAAATAATCCTAAAAGAACACTGAGTATTTTGGAGGACAAATTGAAACATTGTTGGTTTTTGAAAAGCATTCTAAACTCACACTTTATGCATAACCAACAGTTACCAAACTGAATTTGATACATATATGTGTATATGTATACGTATATGTATATCTATATGTATACGTATATGTATGTGTGTGTGTCTAATTCTGAAAAAAACTCCACAGGCCCCTGGTTTTTATTTTGACTACTTCCATAGTAATATGCCAGTCTGGAAAATGGACACTAGATTTGTAGTGTTATACTTATACAATATAGAACAGCAATGTTACAGTATATAGACAATCTATTAAATAAAATCTAAATTCATATCCAGGCCTGTTTCTCAAAGATTTTCATATATAAATTTAAAAGAGAGTACTGCCTTTTTCCAAGGATTGAGTTAGAGTTCCTTTGAAAGCTTTTGAAAATAGGGTCAAGTTCATTTTATGTTTACAATTATAATAGCTATACAACTTTTCTTGTCTTGGACAATTTATTGCATTCACTTCAGGAAGGAATAGCAAGAGATACAGAGATGATTCCTGGGACTACCTCCTATTCGGTTTGACAGTAGTGGAAGACTGCCCTCGCTCCAACACAGTCAGTCACTTATGAAAGGGATCTATTAAAAAGAACTGCGTTGGTTTACACTGCAGATTGAATGGAGCATTAAATGACTGCATTAGTATGACTGCAGTGGGGGTAATGGTTGCTTCCAGTGGGTATATAATGTAATAATACTTGCACATAGGTGGAATAATTTGTCCAAGTGTCCTTATTTAATTTGTCACGAAATGGTTTCCAGCATCTCTCCAGCATCTCTCCAGCAAATGCCCTCCACACCTCCCCTCACCCTACATTTTTATTTTCCTCCCTCTGAGCAAGTGTAAACAAATGAGGAAATATGTGTACTTTTGAATTGTCACCTATGTATCATGAAGGTGGGGGAATACTGCAAATCACTTGGAAAGAGCTTCTAGAAGGCATTTAGCGATACCGCCCACCAATACAGCTCAGATGCTCTTGATTCGATTAACCTACCCCCCACCCCCACCTCATCCCCGGGCCTGGGCTGTAATTTTCCAAACAGCCCCCTCACATTTGCAGATAAAAGTTAAAATCAATCCACAGATACAGAATGTTGACTTCCTGTCACTCAATTTTTCAGGGTTTCTCTTTGTAGAGCTGCCAGATTGTGACCGCTGAGAGCGACGAGCGAGCGAGCGAGAGATCACTTGCTTCCTTGCTTCCTAAGCAGGGATTTGCCTGCGATGCGCGGCGAGAGGACTGCGGCTGCTGATTTACACAGTTGGCGCGGAGGAGGGGCCAGGGATGCGGGGGGGAAAAGCTGGCGGAGGCTCCTGCGATGGGCTGATCTGGGGGCTCCCAAGCGCCGCTTCCTCCATGCGCGATTTGGGGACGGTTGATGGATTTGCATTCGGGTTCCAGCCCGGCGTTTCGTATATTGCCTCCTAATAGCAGACCTGGCGCTCCCAGTTTGGGTGCAGACGTTGGTAAGTAACGGTGTAATCCGATTTTAGTTATTTCCTAGGTTATTAAAGTGGCACTTTAAAACAGGTCAGTCTTAAATGATGCCGCCGCCGGGAGCGTCTCCTTGGCCTGAACAGTTTCGCGGCCCCTTTCCCCGCCCCCCACCCTCTCCCGCTTGAAAAGTGAGGGTGCTTGAACGGTGAGCTGTCAGGGGGACTCACTCTCTGCCAACAGGATTGCTTCACCTTCGTGCTTTGCCCGAGATCCCCGAGGTCCAAGTCGAATTTGGTGTGTATAGCCATACTGCTGTATTTGTATCCTCCCTCTTTATTCTCTCACCTCCCCTCGCCTCCCCACTCCCCCGCCACCTTCGCTGTCTGGCCAATGCTGGGATCTGGAATCTAGTCGCCCCTTTCCTGCTTCTTTCCTGCTCCTCCCCAATCTCCTCTTCTCTCCTCTAACACACCACCCAACCTCACTTCCACCTACCTAAAAGGGTCAAAAGCAAAGACTCCCGGAGAAGGCAAGGGTTAGTCCCATCTCCTCGGATCTGAGGAGGCCTCGGGCAGGAATTGGCGCTGTGACTGATAATCTTTCAGGAAACGAGAAACAAAAACCCAGAGACCCAGCCAGGGCTATCGGGGACCATGTAGCTTGCAGCTGAATCCAGAGCACCGAGATTTTAATTCAAAGAACCCAGTCCTGGGACACTCAAGCTGCCCGCCTGCCATCGAAGACTTCAGAGCTCTGGTCGTGAGCTCCCTGTTACTGGCTTCGCAGCGCTAGGTGCGCGCCCGGCTCTCCCATTGGTATGCAGAGACCATTTCGCTGCAAGTCTCGAAGGTGGAAACACTTAAAAGGATTACAAGCGTGATTTGGTGGCCTTTCTGAAAGTTGGTGGCCGGAGGAAAAGAAACTGCAAGGCTACGGCATGATGGATACAATTCACTCTCTCAGAGTGTTTGCAGCTCCCGCTGGAAAACCCTTCGGAGCAAACCTCGGAGATCTTGAGCGCTCTGCACGGATAGGTACTCGCAGCCATCCTTTCCTATTTTGCCTAATTGAAACCAGTTTTCCTCGCTTGGATGATGTGCACTGTAGAGAATATAGAGTTTGGTCGCACTGTCTTCTATAACGCTCGCAGGTGCTATGGGTCTGTTGCATTTTTTAATTTAATCATTTAGCTGTAAGGACGATGGTAGAAGGAATGGTACTGGAGTCTAGCATACCCTCGGACTTCTTTTCTGGGGGAGGAAATCATAAACTCCAACAAATAGGCCAGGTGGCGGAGCGAAGTGGATAGCTCGCTTGCATTGTCAAAGATAGAAGGAAAACGGCTTGAGCTTTTTAATCATTTTCCGTTACTAAACAGACCCATTGTGCCTTTCTCCTGGCGACAGCAGACTAGAAAAGGATCTGTAGAAGGCTCAGAGCTCTTCAGAAATTGAATGATGCAGCAATTATGTGTTCCAGGGGATATCGTTTTGCTTCCATCTTGTAATATTTAATCTTAGATATGGAGAGATTAGTGGCCTTGGAGATCGGACAAAGGGGAGGGGGTGGGAAGGGGGTACAGTGGAGAGAAAGGGCTTCTTGTCCTCCCCGTAGGCAAACAAATGTTGTCGGGCGCTCCCAGCAGGAAGCAGACGAAACCGAGCCCCGTCCGGGGCCCTTCATCCCCTAACTTTTTGGAGCTCTTCTTATCCCTTAGACACGTTATATTGAGGGAAAGGAAAAAGGTGAAAGAGCCTTTTAGGACATGGATCAAATCAAGAAGTTGGGGGGTTGTAGTTAAGAACAGAAAATGACTTCATAGAGGACAATTTACTGTTACTGGAAGCTCAGGGAAGCCTCCCGGTTACCCATCAACTCCACCGCATCATGGGTTCCGATAAGATCCGTGAAACAGTCACCGCCTCTGCACGTTGGGTACAGAAGGCGGTGTGTGTGTGTGTGTGTGTGTGTGTGTGTGTGCGCGCGCGCGCGCGCGCGCGAGCGCGCGCGCAGGGCGGGGGTTGGAGGGTGAGGAAGGGTGGGGGAAGCGGTTGGCAGCTGCTGGAGACGATGGGATTGTTCTGGTTCTGAGCTCAAGCTATCGGTGTTCGTCTGTTTCTCAGTTGAGACCTATTTGAGAAATAGGGTGGGTCTGGAATATTAAGGGTGTAGCACGGTAGAGAATTCTGCCCGCCTGCTTCACTTAGTCTTTGATGATTGTATCCAGTCTCAGCTACCGTGGAGCGATGGACAAATGTAGTTATTTTAAATGCAATATCATGCAAAACAATGATTTTAAGGAACGTTTTGTTGAGTTAGGTCATATATATATTTAGAATGGTAAGACATTATACATAAGTTGTGTTTTCCTTTTTTTTTCCCTGCAAAAATGGTTTTTAAGGTAAAGCTATTTCTAACTGCTAACTTTGAGCCTTTGAGCAATTGAGATTCAGTCCAATTGTTTAGTGCCCAGAAAGTCCCTCTCTTCCCCAAGAACTGGTGACAGGACCGGTGTATATGGCAGGGGGTAGGGGGGAGTGGTGGTGGCAACGGGGAAGGGAGGGCATGCTTCAACGACGCAGAGTTCCCACTAACTAGACTCTTTGCTGCACACTTGCTTCTCTCCAGTTCCTTCACGAAGCTCCATTTCCTCCCAGCGGGTAGATATGTAGAACCATCAGTTGAGCCTTTAAAAATTCCTCTTCAGAAGGTTCCTGTGAACTATGATCTGGTGACCCCTCTTCACTGCAAGGTCTTCTCTCAGTCACTCCTACCCTCAAACTTCCTTACCATCTCCCTTCCCCAAAACGTCATGAAGACAATTTTTTAATAAAAAATTGGAGTGGAGGGGGGGATGGGGGGATAGAAAAGAAAGAAAGAAAAAATTGAACCTAAACTCTGAAATGCTGCCCCCTATCCCCTCGAGGTCTCTCCGGGAGGAAGAAAGTGAAATGTGCCAATGTCACCAAATGGTCTGCACCTTCTACCAGAGCATTGGCTTGTCTCTCTTTTTAAAAGAGTAGAAGCAAACACAGGGCTGTTGAATCCAAGGGAAATCGAAGGCTTTGAGCTACAGCATAACTAAAGGATTCCTGGTGCAAAGAGATCGAAACAAAACGCAGGAGAACTCAGTCCAAGTTGCTCAGGTTGCCTGAGCTCTTATTCGGGACACCTAAGCAGAATCAGCTAGATTCAGCTCTTCTCCTTTGGGAACCTGAGTTTCCCTTTACCCTCCACCCCTACCCTCCTCATTTGAGGGAAGTGTCTGTTCCGAGATTTTAAAAAAAACAAACAAACGCTACACCACTCCCCTCTCATCACCTTTTCCACTAAAATAATGTTTCTCGCAGGTTGGTCTCTTCTTCCCCCCCCCCTTTTTTTTTTGACAGTCTGTCATCTCGACCCCTCCACTTCTTTTCTCCCCCGTTAAGCGCGCGCGCACACACTCCCAAACTGTACAGTCAGGGCTACCCAGTGCTCGCGCCCGACCCCATGCTAAGCGCGTTCCCTTTCTTGGAGCTCATTTTCGTGACGTAGAAAGCCGGATCCAGGGTTACAGCACAAAAAAAATAAAAAAATAAAAAAAAGGCCAACGCAAGAGAAGTCAGATTCTGCACTGTGACTGAGCCTGCCTTCCTCCTGCCCTTCCTCCCGCCCTTCCTCCCAGTGCCCAACGTTGTGCTGCCGGCACCGAGAGAAGGAAGCAATCGCGGCAGCAGCGGCGGGGGCAACGGCATCGGAGCGACAGCAACAGCGAAGCTGGAAGGGAAGCCTGCAGCAGCCCCTTCTCCTCCCTCCTTATTGAGTGTGCCAAGCGGCAGTTCTGCATCCTAAAGAAGCCCATTGAAAGGCCGATTACATTCCCTGCACGTCTCAAGCTTGCTGCCTTTTTTTCTTAGCCCCCTTCTTTATTCCCCCCACCCCCTCGCACAACCCCCGCTTCAGCTTCAGCAAAAGGACAGGAGGGAGAGGGAGAGAGAGAATCCTTAAACTTAAGCTTCCCCCCTACCCCCCACCAATGTTCAATGCAAAAAAAAAAAAATCTGCAAATAGGTAAGTCAGAGACATCTGGAGCCTTTCTTGCCTAAATATCAGGGACCTCAAAAACAAGAAAAACATTTTTTTTAAATGGTAAAGAAGAAAGAACTTAAGTAGATGTTAATATTTTATAAGGGAGACAGGGAAGACTAACTGATACTGCATTGTAGCCTCATCTGCTTTTTTTTTTCCATTTAATTGTTTCTAAAAATTGAGTATTGCATGCCTGAGGCAGATTTCTCTTTGCTTTCTCATGGTTCTCCTTTCCTTGCAGCTGTGTATATTAGATGCAAGTTGAATGTGAAGATTTATTATTTTCCCTCTCCCTATGAATTGTATCATTGTGTTTTTATAGTTAAAAGGGTTGACAAAATGCTACCTTAATGTATGTGTCTATATGTGGAGAGAAGATATATGCTAAAAACTCCTATTTTTATTGATTAAAAACAACCATTCAATTTTGATATTTTAGTGATTCAGAAAGAGCAATGTAATAAAACTGTATTATTACAATTTATTCATGTACACATTTTCACACATTAATGACATTAGGTAAGGAAAGAGAGCCATAGAGGCAGACTCTGTATTATTAGAACAGCGCCCTGCTTTTGTTTCTTCTGACTGGAAAAGGAATTATGTCTTTTTTTTAATGCATTTCATGTTATAGATCATTTATCAGCAGGTAAGAATTAAGGTTTTTAGCCTTTCTTGCCTTTAACTACCCAGCTCTCCTCTAACCAGCCTGGTTTCCATCATTTAACAGTGTTCCTCAGTTGATCTTGAAAGCACAGATAAGCACCAAACTAAGCTCTGCAAGTGTTTTAACACAGACACTTCTAAGCTCAGCATCCTTTGGCTGTCACTAGCCTTAGCTCTGACAATTGCATGAGCTTGTACTATAGGAAGGCCAATCAGACCTGAAGGGTTTAAATAGCCAAATGATAAATAAATATAGAAGTTATTTAGTTTAAGAAGATGCTAGTAATCTGTGGTTGGGCAAAAGTGGGGGGATTATAGTATTTTACCAAGTACACAAAGTACACACTATAATTAAGCATGTTCTGATCATCTAAGAAAGATCGTATTGTAAGTTTTCCTGAGATACCACTTTATACATCTCAACATATGATATTGGGCAATGGATTCATACTTTATCATACTCTTTAATCTAATAACTTTGGGGTGTGCCATGTCTTTTACTGAGGAAAAACTTATAATTTAAAAACATTATTTTTCCCCCATAAGATTTCCAATCAGATCTATAATGGCCACTTCTGATACCAAAGTGAGCTTTTTACAAGGAAACAGGTGTAATGGCTAAATTACTGCCATTATTACTGAATCTGCCCATATCTAAAAGGCGTCACTGTTTACCAGGTCCCTTGCTGGCTACAAGAAGCAATGAAGGCTGTTTTTGTTTGTCTGATATACTCTTTACCAAGTATGGCTTGGTTCAGAAAAATGTCGTTTCATGATACAGTATTTATTTCAGAGTCCCCTAAGTTTAAAATACAGGATATTTTAAGCATGCTGACAAGTTGTTTTGAGTGTCAGTTCAACAATTACTAAAGTTTTCATATCATTTTTAAAAAACCCCGCATGTAGGAGTCAATTAGAATAGTGAATATGACTAAAAAGCTAAAAATCTGCATGTTTATTTCTGTTGCAGCTGTGTAATCAACGACGAATGACGAAACCTTCCGTATCTGAGATGCTTCACAGAGGGAGGATGTTGTGGATAATTCTTCTAAGCACAATTGCTCTAGGATGGACTACCCCGATTCCCCTGATAGAGGACTCAGAGGAAATAGATGAGCCCTGCTTTGATCCATGCTACTGTGAAGTTAAAGAAAGCCTCTTTCATATACATTGTGACAGTAAAGGATTTACAAATATTAGTCAGATTACAGAGTTCTGGTCAAGACCTTTCAAATTGTATCTGCAGAAGAATTCAATGAGGAAATTGTACACCAACAGTTTTCTTCATTTGAATAATGCTGTGTCCATTAACCTTGGGAACAATGCATTGCAAGACATTCAAACAGGAGCTTTCAATGGTCTTAAGATTTTAAAGAGGCTGTATCTACATGAGAACAAACTAGATGTCTTCAGAAATGACACCTTCCTTGGCTTGGAAAGTCTGGAATACCTGCAGGCAGATTACAATGTTATTAAACGTATCGACAGTGGGGCATTTCGGAACCTAAGTAAATTGAGGGTTCTGATTTTAAATGATAATCTCATCCCCATGCTTCCAACTAATTTATTTAAGGCTGTCTCCTTAACCCATTTGGACCTCCGGGGAAACAGGTTAAAGGTTCTTTCTTACCGAGGAATGCTAGACCACATTGGCAGAAGCCTGATGGAGCTCCAGCTGGAAGAAAATCCCTGGAACTGTACGTGTGAGATTGTGCAACTGAAGAGTTGGCTGGAACGCATTCCTTACACTGCCCTGGTGGGAGACATCACCTGTGAGACCCCTTTCCATTTCCATGGAAAGGACCTACGAGAAATTAGGAAGACAGAACTCTGTCCCTTGTTGTCTGACTCTGAGGTAGAAGCTAGTTTGGGGATCCCCCACTTGTCATCAAGCAAGGAGAATGCTTGGCCAACTAAGCCTTCCTCCATGTTGTCCTCTGTCCACTTCACTGCTTCTTCTGTTGAATACAAGTCATCAAATAAACAGCCTAAACCCACCAAGCAGCCCCGAACACCAAGGCCACCCTCCACATCTCAAGCTTTATACCCTGGTCCAAACCAACCTCCCATTGCTCCTTACCAGACCAGACCACCCATTCCCATTATATGCCCTACTGGGTGTACCTGTAATTTGCACATCAACGACCTTGGCTTGACTGTCAACTGCAAAGAGCGAGGATTTAATAACATTTCTGAACTTCTTCCAAGGCCACTGAATGCCAAGAAATTGTACCTGAGTAGCAATCTGATTCAGAAAATATACCGTTCTGACTTTTGGAATTTCTCTTCCTTGGATCTTTTGCATCTGGGAAACAATCGTATTTCTTATGTCCAGGATGGGGCCTTCATCAACCTGCCCAACCTAAAGAGCCTCTTTCTAAATGGCAATGATATTGAGAGGCTGACACCAGGCATGTTCCGAGGTCTGCAGAGTTTGCACTACTTGTACTTCGAGTTCAATGTCATCCGGGAAATCCAGCCTGCAGCCTTCAGCCTCATGCCCAACTTGAAGCTGCTATTCCTCAACAACAACTTGCTGAGGACCCTGCCAACAGATGCCTTTGCAGGCACATCCCTGGCTCGGCTCAACTTGAGGAAGAACTACTTCCTCTACCTTCCTGTGGCTGGTGTCCTAGAACACTTGAATGCCATTGTCCAGATAGACCTCAATGAGAATCCTTGGGACTGTACCTGTGACCTGGTCCCCTTCAAACAGTGGATTGAAACCATCAGTTCAGTCAGTGTGGTGGGTGATGTGCTTTGCAGAAGCCCTGAGAACCTCACCCACCGTGATGTGCGCACTATTGAGCTGGAAGTTCTCTGCCCAGAGATGCTGCACATTGCGCCAGCTAGAGCATCCCCAGGTCAACCCGGAGATTCTCTCTTTGCTGGGAAGCCAACAAGTGCATCACCTTATGAGTTCTCTCCCCCTGGGGGCCCCGTGCCACTTTCTGTGTTGATTCTCAGCCTGCTGGTTCTGTTTTTCTCAGCAGTCTTTGTTGCCGCAGGCCTCTTTGCCTATGTGCTCCGACGGCGCAGGAAGAAGCTACCCTTTAGAAGTAAGCGGCAGGAAGGTATGGACCTTACTGGTATCCAGATGCAATGCCACCGGCTATTTGAGGATGGTGGAGGTGGTGGAGGTGGAAGTGGAGGTGGGGGTCGACCAACTCTTTCCTCCCCGGAGAAGGCCCCTCCTGTGGGTCATGTATATGAGTACATCCCGCACCCAGTTACCCAGATGTGCAACAATCCGATCTACAAGCCTCGTGAGGAGGAGGAGGTTGTTTCCTCCGTCCAAGAGGCCGGGAGTGCAGAATGTGGGGGTCCTGGGACACAACCACCAGGTATGGGTGAGGCTCTGCTAGAAAGCGAGCAGTTTGCTGAGACACCCAAGGAGAACCACAGCAACTACCGGACCTTGCTGGAAAAGGAAAAGGAGTGGGCGCTGGCAGTGTCCAGCTCCCAGCTCAACACCATAGTGACAGTGAATCACCACCACCCTCACCCTCACCACCCAGCAGTTGGTGGGGTTTCAGGGGTAGTTGCGGGAACTGGGGGAGACTTGGCTGGGTTCCGCCACCATGAGAAGAATGGTGGGGTGGTGCTGTTTCCTCCTGGGGGGGGCTGTGGTGGTGGCGGCACTATGCTGCTAGACCGCGAGAGACCACAGCCTGCCTCCTGCACAGTGGGATTCATGGACTGTCTCTACGGCACAGTGCCCAAATTAAAGGAACTGCACGTCCACCCTCCTGGCATGCAATACCCAGACTTACAGCAGGATGCCAGGCTCAAAGAAACCCTTCTCTTCTCAGCTGGAAAGGGCTTCACAGACCACCAAACCCAAAAAAGTGATTACCTCGAGTTAAGGGCCAAACTTCAAACCAAGCCGGATTACCTCGAAGTCCTGGAGAAGACAACATATAGGTTCTAAAAGAAAAAGAAAAAGAAAAAGAAATCAGTGCTTTTTTTCAAAAGAAAAGGAAAATAAAAGAAATATATCCTTTGCTCCCTTTACATTTGTCCTAATAACTCCATTCTCACAAACTTCCCTGCCCTGAACAAAACTGAAACCGCATGATAACTAGAAAATACAGATGTATGCTCTCCTCTCCCAGATGTGATTTGGAGGAAGGGCCATACTCAGATCATTAATCAATGAAGTGCCTTCGCAGACTTTTGCCAGCAAATGTTATCATTATTTTTTTATACTGAATCTTGAGACTTTGACTGTGCCATGTATAAGGTATATTGGGGATCGTTATATTGATCCTAATTAAGTAAAATTTAATGTCTTTTTATTTTCAGTAATTTTTATTTTTTAGTTGTAGTTTTGTTTGATGGGGAGTGGGGGAAACAAATTGACATTTGTGGCTCTTTTTTCTTCCCATCATGGCACAGATTCTGTACATGTATTAACAATGCAGTTTGCTGCATGCCTGGAAACTGCAAGACGGGGAGGGAGGGGGCGGGTCTTGCTCGAATGTTCTCACCCATTCTTTTTTCTCTCACACACATACCTACATACAAATCACAAATTCCTGCACACAGGTCCCTAAACCTGCAGCCTCTTCCTTCTGATGCAGGTAGACACACACACACACACATGCATTCAACCCAATCTAATTAGTTCAGGTTTGATCCATTCCTCTCCTCTCCATAGCTTCACCTTCCCTTCACCCCTAGTGTACAGCTCACAACATCTTTCCTACCATCCTGGGAAAAATCATATTCTAAGCTGAATCCTACTGAAGTTGAAGCCTGGTGGTTTAACACCAGAGGCACACACCTAGGGAAGAGCACCTTCTTTGTGACACTTCATCCTGATGCCAAGATTTTTTGGAGAACATCTGCACTTTCTTATATATATATACATACATATATATATGTATATATATATGTGTGATATATATACATATATATATGTATAATTAACAAGACATAAAAAGCAACTGAGTATATTATCACTAACAGCTTTGTAGGAAGCACTTTTAATGTTTTCTCTCACACACAAAGATTCAAAAGAAATGTGCATATATTTATTCTGTAATTTCAGTGATTATAAATTGTAAACGTAATGTTTAATCATTGTATAGTGATTATGCGTCTGGTATAGCTTTCCTAATAAAAAGTTTTTGAAAAACATAATACATTATATATAGAGGATACAAAGCTCGAACCTTAAACTCCAGCTATGCCATGCCTTTTGTGCTCACATTAAAAAAAAATTCTTTATTTACTTGTTATAAAGAAAGATAGTTTATTAACAAATTTGATGCACTGTGATGTTGATAAATTTCATAACCCACCACCCCCATCCCACATGAGGATACAAGTGAAACTTTAAAAAAATCTGATTTATATAGTTGACTTCTTTCTCTTCGATTATGAATTTCAAACTTAGTAATCCAATGATGTACTATTTTTCCTAGGCAGGATGCAATTAGGAGAAAATAAAATAACTAGATTGCTAAGAAGAAAAGGATTATGTGGAGGAGATAATCAAGGATCCATGAATCTTAAGGTAGTAAGTAAATGACATAAAGGAACGGAAAGTAAAATTGTTATTCTTTAAAAAATATAAACTAAAATCAAACACACTTACACATACATGCACACGCCAAAACTCTAAAGCCTTGGAGCCAATTTGACTGTAAGAATCCTATTGTCTGTGAAATTTGTCACTATTTACTTGTTTTTTCCAACCACTTACTGCAACGGGCCCAAGTCATGCTTGAACTAAAACAAAGGATGCTGAATTAACTTTTCTTTCTGTATGACATGAAAATGATGTTGAAAATTAATCTGATAATAATCCAAGTTATATTCCATTTACATGTGAGCGAAACCAAAGAAAGCCGGTTTTTTAAGGTTCCAGTTTCTTGTGGAGGAAACTAAACTGAGAAACCTGAGGCTTTGAGGTAGGAACTTAACTCATGTTACCAGTAGAGGGCAGCAGAGTTCCAGAGATTCACAGACCCTGTAGCTGCAGAATTGGGTAGTGAAGCCAGTGTTCCCTGCTAGTGTTTTCTCAAGCTGCCCTTAGTAGAAAGTATCATGTGTTGAATGTAGCTCACCGCAAGTCACTGATGCCTTACATAACATTTTTTTCCCATAAAAAAAGGATACTAGCAACTTTTAAAGCTGTGTAACTGATACAAAAAACTAAGGCATTGTACTTAAAAAAGAAGCTCCATAAATGACTATGAGGATTATATATTGATTAATTATATATCGTATCAACATAGATATGCATAAAATAAAAAACAAGTATATCAATATAAAAATGCAACTTTTCAGGGCTACCTTGTATTTGGCACATTGTACTGAAAACTTGTCCTCCATTATTTGAAGTGTATTTTGGAATTACTTCAGGTAATGAAAAGCCCATTAACATCATTCACTGTTTCTATACATAGAGTATTGAAATGTAGCTCTTCATTTAAAAGGATCAGGCCCGCTCTTAAATAGGCACCATTCCTTTTTTGCTTACTCTCCTCTTCTTTTTACTTTCCCATAAGTCACTTTTCTCCTCACTATTTCATATTCTTTATTTTCTAATCATCTCTCCCTCCTTGAAATCTTTAAGGCACAGGAAGTCAGTACTAACCTTTTTGTTTTTTAAAACCTTATCTATGAAGTCCCTATAAACTAGTGATTTATCATGTCTCTATTTCTCTTAATCAGATATTTTGGTGAATAGTAGAAAGCATGTGCATAGTAAAAACCCAAAGTGCAAACCTAGATACTTCTGACAATAATCACCATTTCATTAATAACTGTGCACACATTCATAACATGGCATATTATACAAATCAGGTCAAAGTACAATCCCTAATGATTCTGGTGCTTTTGACATTTGAAAAATGAGTGCCCATAAATCATCAAATTACAATACAACTTGATACTTATGTTTATATTTATTAAATACAGAAAGTAAGACTGTCTTGTCTTAAGTATAGCTAGTAATTTCACCCCTTGAATGAGGAATAAATTTAATTAGTGAAAATAAATTTATATGAAAATGGAATTTTGTATTAAAGGAGGTAATTTGTCGCTTCCATGAAGCTTTCTACCCCCTTGGCTGGGCCACTTACTTTAGATGTACATTAGAATTACTTAAATTACCTTTGATTTATAATGCCAGATATGTTTTCTTAAAGTACCATGGATATTAATATAAGTACTATGATTAGAATTTGTTCTATGTCCTTGTTGCAGTAAAATGATTATTTTTGAGAAAAAGATTACTGATTTGCTTCACAGTGATGGCCAATTAGACTAAAGGGGACCCAGGTCTGACAGACACTTGCTATTATTCATTGCTATTTTAGTATAAATCATAGTAAATTATACTTGAAAACAATACAATGTAATGTCTGTTTAACTACGAGATGGTGAGTGGAAAATAATTGAAAGTGAACTATTAGTTTGATTCAGTAACAGTTTTAACATTATTTATCTTATGCAGTATTATTTATGTAGATGCTTTTATGTTTTTATTTAAAAAGCTATATTATTTCATTTAATTGCAAAATACTAAAAAATAATATATATAAGAATGATTACCACCATATTTTAAATAAAAGTTTAGAGAGATAGGGATCACAGGAAAATTTAATAACTGAGCTTGAAAATTGTTTTTGTCTTACCTAGGAATGTTAGTTTTAAACCTTTGATAGTTGAAAAGAATATGTGTATTTAGCATTATAAACATTAACAATGCAATTGCATATGAACTGTTCTTTAGCCATTGCAACAAATTATTTTGATTCATTTAGTGTAAATTAATTGTCCATATAGTCCTACACCCTTTTTCAATTATGTTGTCTAAGGCAATAAAGATTGCATTTTTGTAAAATGGCTATGACAAAGGAAACAAATTCTTCGTGAGATACATGACTATAATGAGTTAAGATAGTATGAGAGGAAATGGTAGTAAAAGGATGCTCCACCTTAAGTGATTTGAGATAGTTTAATTTGGGCTTAGACATTTATAACTTATACTTAGTTCAAAACCCTCAACTGTGAAAATTCAGGTGACAGAACATAAGTAACTATCATAAATTTCACTATATAAGTGTTCTGTTTAATATATTATAGGCCTTTTAAAAATAATAGGAGCAATAACATGTGTAATTGGGCAATCGTGTGTGTGTGCATGTATATATAATACTATTATGTATAATAGTATTATATATACTTGATTATAGTTACATGTAAATTATGCTTTTTCTCACATGTATAACAATTTCAGGTTTATGTATTTATTTCTCTTGCTTCTGTCTAGCTAACATCCAAGTGAAGCGGAATAAAATTACGTTGAAAATATTCACATGTAAAAAGTTAACACTGTAATTATAATTTCTGAATTTAAAAGTTATTTTATCTTCGAACTTGTTTTATTTTTTATTTAAGTAATGGGGAAAAATCTCAGTCAAATTGTGATTTACTTTAAGTCCTCAGTAAAGAAAATAATCTCATTAATATGCAATTTAAGTCAAATGAAAAAAGTATTTTCTCATTTTTCTATTTCTAGAATAAATTGGTGAAAATAATTTCAATAGCTTTATTAATTTGGTAAGACTTTTCTAATTTATCTAGGTATGTAGAAAGAATGAAATCTTGAAGGTAAATGTAAGAGAAGCACCTGTTTAAGACATTCATTTTTCTGTTTTACTTTTAATATCATCCTTTATTTAAAATGTATGCTAATAGTAATAATAATAATAATAAGCAGAGATGACTATTTTAGTATGCTTTCATTAAATCTGAGTTGAAGAAGAAGATTTTTCATATCAAGAAAGCAGATGTACACAGGGGTTGCTAGTTGTGAAGATAAAATGGTTTGGCCAGCTTCTTAAATTCGGATAATGTTTGCTCCTGAAAACAATATATGTATTTTTGAGAATATGTATTATTTCCTCTCTATTGCACTGATACAAGGTGATTTTTCACCTGCTTTTAAAATTCTAATAGAAAATAATACTTGTGAACCTCAAAGAGCTATAGCCAAGAAAGTATTATAATAAATTTGTACTTGACCCAAACCCTAAAATATTTTTAAACAGTAAAACACAAATGAACATTAGTAAAAAGACTTTCTTCATTACCACCAGTGACAAAAAGGACAGCATACCTAATTAAATATTTCTTTAGTATGTTCAGTCCATGCACTAGTTTATGAATAGTACAAAGAATTGATAGAGTTAGCAGTGTGTTAAACTGTATCAAAATCAAACAAGTTCCATCAAAAAGAATGTGCTAATGACCAGTCAAAACAATTCTGAACACTTAAATTCAATTGTAATAATTAGCAGGTCATTCTCCTGATTACGAAAGGTACCACATTATCGATACTGTATTATATGTGAATACAGGGCTTTTGTGCTTTTGACATATTTTACTACAAACTTTCAGGTTCAGAGTTTATTTGGGTGGTGGAAGACTAATGATTTTTGGTAGAACTTAAAACGAGAGAATGACTTTTCTCATCTTAGGAGTGGCAAAAATTAGCTCTGAAAAAAGATGTTAAAACAAAGATGTCACTTGATTGTGTAGAGACATGGAAAAAAGTTCTCTTCTACCTTGTGGCCTATTCCTTTCACTATTTCTGACTGCCCAGCTTCTACTTTTGTTTCTGACTCATTACCAACACATTCTTGTGACTAAAGGCACATTCACTGAGCTCAAATTAGGTGCCAAGGCAAGATCAGGAATTGATGAGAGTCCTCACACCCAGTGACAAAATGTCCAATTCACTTTTCTTTGTACATAGGCTGAGAAAATAATTCAACATACCTACTTTCATTGTGAAATCATATATAAGTCTGGTGAAAAAACTCAAACCAATGATAAAACTAGAACCACTTCTGGAAATCAAGAGAGACTCAGCAAATGCTTTAAAAATGGAGTTTATTTTTAAAATATCAAAGCCTTGCTTTTCCTCCTCTGAAATGCCCTTTGTCTTTTCCATGGCATCCAAATATTGGCTTAATTGGAATTAAAATACAAATGTAAAAAATATATATATATTAAGACCACCTCCTCTTACTGGAATCCACACATTTTCAGTAATTTTTCATTATTTACAGTGTATACTTTCTATTCAGCTGTTACATTGTTGCTTGGAATTCTAAGGTTTTGTTTTTGTTTTTTTCCCACAGAATTCTGGTAAAACAATTTATCTTAAAATGTGCTCTTTTTTGATGTGTGGTAACTAACTTTATAATAAAAACAAGTCTGTCAATATGTAAACTATTAATTATATACTGTAATTTGGGAGAAAGAAACCTTTAAAGTCTATCTAAATTGGACACTTTATATGTATTAAATTGAGTTGGGTTTTTTGTTCCTACTTGTGCTCTTCTTCACCAGATTTGGATTCAAAGTGAAATCTGTTCCTCTATTTCTAATTAAGAGTTCATCAAATGTTTTGCTTTTCTAGTTGTCAAAAAAAAAAAGGGAGGTGGGCATAGAAATGTTAACAGGTACAAATAATTTGTAGAATAATTAGGTCCATGAATCTCTCACATTTCCTTCAGGAAATGATCCTCAGCAAGGACAATGGAAAGAGAAGATGAAAAAATGAAAATACTCTACCTTTTTGAAGAGTAGTTGATAAAGGCTTAATGGAGAAAGTTTGAACTACACTTTCATATTAATCTTTTGGTGGTGTATCTTTGAAATAGTTTATATCCTATAGTAGGTTCACCGTGTCTTTCAACATGATTCTAAGCCACTTCAATAGCCATACATTAATATAGTCATTGGGCATGTAATCAAACCTTATCAGTAACTAAACAAACTATAATTAAAAGGAAGTTTTAATGCAGAAGAAGTCACCAGGATAAACTAAGACAGCAATGCATATTAAAACATTAAGCTTAATTTATGGTATAGATAGATAAAATGATTACAAAGTCTTTTTCTAATTAGTTTTTCCTACACAAATAAGAGCTCTGCATTATCCACTAGTTAATTTTGGGGCCATGTTAACATAACTTTCTCCTGAGCCCCATAACCAGAATTCATTTAAGGAATACAACCTAATTATTAATATTTATTTAAGAATACTTATTTACTTAAAAGCTGACTTTAATTTATCATGTGATATATCTGAGTTATGACTATTCCAGAGTCAAATGTATGCAGTTTAAAACAATTTTATTAACTGTGATATTGTTCTCCTCTCTTTATGTTTATTTGGATTTTAACAGTATAAATTATATTGAAATTGCTCCTTAATTTGAATCATATACTCTCCTCTCTTTATAAATATGGATAATTGATAGCTGAACATTGCTTAGATGAGTTCTGGATATGTGTGTATGTATGTATGTATGTATGTATGTATGTGTGTGTGTATTATATGACAACATCTTTATCAAATAAGTAAGTTTCATAATGTGTTACTGTACAAATTTTTTTAAAGTTTAAATTGAAGTTTTTAAATATGGTAAGATATGGTGTGAAATGCTGAACAATATATAAAATCTAGCTTCTAATGTTTAATTTGTTTAAATGAACCAGGCGTGAAGTTGACAATAAACCACCTCTCATCTCATGTTAATGGCTACCCAATTCTGCGGTACTACATTCACCACTCTCACCTCATTTCAAAAAAATTAGTTAGCATTTCTATAAATCACTATGTCTTAAAGAAGGGAGGCAGAAGCATTGATTCTGGAGAACTCTTATTTCCACTGCAATGGGTATTACAGAATAATGGGAAGAAATGTTGCAAACAGAAAATGAAGAGAGAGAAGACAATGAATGTATCGTCAGGTGGACAATGCTCCTGAAATAATTCTGATAGGCCCACTCATCAACCACCACTCTGAGAACAACAGTTCTCAGCAAGTGTCTTTAGTTGCAAGTAAGCAAATACATTATATTTTTATACAAATATGCAGTTTGCTAATTCCTATGTGTGTACAAATCGCTGTGATAATTCTTTTATTTTTTAGAGAACACATCTCTCATGGGCATCAAAATTCAATTTCAAATTTCTTTTATCCTCCATACAGTAAACTAAATTTTGAATATTCTCTCAAATACTTATTCACACTATTTGACTCATGCTGATTTGGGTATATTGGAATAAATTACCTTAAGCGTCCTTCAGTCATTTTACCTGTTTGTGCCAAGAATTCTGGCTTTTCAATTATACTGGAAGCACTTGAGAACACAGCTGTCTTCAAGGTCTTTTGTAGCCAAGTTTCCAAGACCATTTTTGCACAGCTGTGGAAAATACTTCCTGATTGAACTTCTGAGCTTCACAGGTCCTACCTTGTTTCTAGAATAGTCATATCACTGCTTTTCTTTGCATTATTTCTAATACACAGCCTCAGTAACAATAGATAATTGGTAAATATTTGTTGACTAAATGAACAGTTTTAAAATACATATGGCCTACGAGTTCTGAAAAAGTTGATATTCCTTTTGTGTGTAACCTAGAGAAATGATGAAAAGGGATGAAGTTTGAGTGCAATAAAGGTCGTAAGTGTGACTGACAGTGTGGGAAAGGTAGTAACTTCTTTTAGCTTTCTAGATTTCTGTATTAGTAATACACATTGATAAGGAAATGAGATGGAACAAACTGAATAGTATAAGTAATGTCTCTGGAGAGATAATGAAAAAAAGAAGGAAGAAAGGAAGGAAACAAGGAGATTTAAAACAGTTTTATCCTTCTCATTAGCAGCCGAAGCAGAAAAAGCATGCCCAGTGGTATGCAGGCATGGTATTAGTGAAGCTTGTGCTCAGTTGCTTAAATATTTACAAATAAGAGCAATAATCTAATAGGTTTGTTGGTGTCTTCTTTGTTATAATTATTTAACTGAAGGTTCTATCATTTTACTGAAAATTCTTCTGGAATGTTAATCCAGACAAGAGTATTAAATAAAACAGAATACCTACAAGTGTCACACAAACATCTTCCTTTAGTGAGATGAGCAGTTTAAAATATTTTTGTCTATTCTATATCAGCAAAGGCACAAGAGGTTCCACTTAAAAGTGACAGGATATGACTAGCTCTATTCCTATATTTCAGTACCTGATCCTGTTGTGAACAAGTGAGATAAAATTAGATGGTGGATAAAGAGTTGCATGTATGAGCATATGAAATAATACATAAAATTTATTTCTACATTGCAATAACTAAATCTTAATGCCTAGTTAATATTTCACTTGTTAATGTGAGACTTTAAAAATAAAAACCATGTGTTCTTATTGAATTTCAGTCTTGAAATCCTAAATGCCACTATGAACATATTCTCTTCTACCTTACCGAAGGATATAATAATTAATGAGACTTTAACTGATGGTATATTCAGCCCAATTAAGAAACATTTAAGGCAAATACAGAGACTTACATTTTTTATAAATGGCAGGCACTTATTTTATTTATTTTCATTAAAGCTATGGATAGCCATATGAAAATTCAGAGTCCTTTTTGGGTATCTGGAAACTTGTCACTGTGGTGCTACTCCATAGCTGTCTTGGATATTTGACATTATGTTAAAATTCTATATTCTCATTGGCATTTTATGTTGTCCTTGAAATACACTTCTATTTCTCTAATAGAACCCAAATGTTATTAGAGAAAAAATGACCCTAAACTGCACATTTATACCTTTTAATGCATTTAGAGAATAACGCAAGAATTTTAGAAGTTGTTACTGGAAAAGGATTACAAAATTTCAAACTGCTTTTGAAGTAAATAAATGGCATGTAGTTTACTATGTCCTAGAAGATGTAACATAAGTGTATCTTGCTAATCGGTAGGATCAGGGATTAGAGATAATAAATTCTTCAAACATAAAGTAGGCTTACATAAATGTAAAACCTAAAAGAACAGTATTTTAGGACTACTTAATGTATTGGGAATTTAACGTAAAATATTCATGTATATATAGATATATGTACCAATATTCCACACACTCAGTACTATTTCTACCAATTCACATGCTATGACAATATATGAAAAGTTAATATACAACTTACAAAAGCTATTAACATGAGACATGAATTGAGTTTCACATATTGAGCTGCTGTTAGTAAACATTTCATTTAAAATAATTTTTTTGAATAACCAGCTGTGTAAAAACATGATGTTATATTTAGAGTAAACATGGTAATAATTGATAACTGCCTGAAAAAGCTTTCCCATGCCTTAAAAATGCTCACAGAGAAACTGTAAGTTTTAATGGAGCTTTAGAGAGTGCTGATATCTAAGAAACATAAAAGCCTTTTGCATAACTAGTAAAATGTATTTTTTGTTTATAGTTCTGAAATTGATCAGATTTGTTTTAAATAGTTGAGGATCTTCGATCACTATAGTATGTTAGATATATCACTATAGTATAGATTCCATTCTAAGTCAGTATTATTTAATTATAGATTATGCTCTTATCTCAAAAGACTAAAGAATCAAAAACAAGTGAAATATATATAAAACAAAACCCAAAACTATGAATCTCTATAGTTTATAGTAAACTTTATAGTTTACTATAAAGATTTAGATTTCCTCTGCTTCCTGTTACTATCAGGTGAAGTGATGAATAGATAAGAAAAAACTACTGTAGTTTTTAATCTCATCCTTTTGTCCAAGTTTCTCCATGAAAGCTAACTATAGCTGAACAGAAAACTAAGTCTAAAGAGCATCCCACAGATAACCAGAGACCACAGGTCTCAATGTTAAATGCCTTTCCCCATGAAAACACGACTTGGGGTTTTGGAGCTCCTCTTTTGTCCTAATACTAAGGTAAGTAGGCTATGATAATATAGCTTGAAAATCTTTAAAGTTTTTAAAGATACTTGCAGTTCTCCACTACACTCTAGAATGTGGGATGAGGCTAAACCTTAGAAGGGTGTCTTCATGATCCAGCTATTGCTTCCTAGGGAAAGAGAGAATGAATCTCCATATTCAGGATGTAGAACCTCTGCCAATGACCATGCTGCTGGTGTATCCTTTTGAGTGTCTATCTCAGTAAGTTGTCATGGTGTAGGAACTATGATTACTGCAATAACCTCACAGGAAGACCTTTTTCCGTACCTTGAACACCAGACCCTATATTACCTCACACCCTTTAAATTGTTGCTGACAAACATAAAGGACTTCTTCTCCCCTCCTGACCTATCAGTTTAGTTTGTATTAATAGGATTTCTTAGGGTTTTGAATCAGACCAAATTTAAACCATGAATGGGATATATGCAAAGCTGGGAGATACTGACTTCTTTCTGATAATTGTTAAACTCATCACATAGAGAACCCAAAAGTACAATGTTTAAGATACACTGAATCTGGTAAGATATGGGTGAGAATCCCTGTTCAGTCATTAATAACTACATAATCTTGGACAGGTTGTTTTAATCTTTCTGAGCTGCTTAAATTAAGTTACATATTCAAATTTATATTATTAAAAATCTGATACTATTTAATCTGTACTATTAAAAATTATAT